TGAAAAAGGATAAAGAAAATTATAGCAAACAAATGAAAAATATATTGAAAATGTGGTCCACATATGAAGAAAATCATCCCAAAAACGACGAAATATTGTTTATCAAATTCACAATACGGGGTCGTTACCTCTTTTCTTCAGTTTCTTGGGAGGATGAACTTCAAAATCGACAAAGAAAATTGAAATGGATTCAGAACAAGACAACTCAATTCTAAAGCAGCAAGCCCTAACTGAAACAACCAATAAACAAAAACGAAAGTTCAGCCCTACAATTCTGAACTAACAGGCAAGCAATAAACCACTAAACCTTACCATTCCTCAATCAACCAGATGATGAATCACTTCAAATAAGAAGAAACGCAAACGAGTAAATAAACATGCATCATCAAAAAACAGGGAAGATGAAAATCTAAAACCAAATAGAGCATGCAAGAAAAACCATGAAGGAATTAAGAGAGAATCAAAGAAAAATTGAAGTGCTTACCTAGGGTTTGATGATCGTAATGTTTATCTTATTTTATACTATTAGGCCGTCTTCCTCCTCTTCCTTTTCTTCTGCTTATTCCACATAAACAGCTGAAAAATAGAGAGAGAGAGAGAGATCCTTCCTCTTCTTCCCTTTTCGTTTTTCTTCTCTCTCACTAGAAATATACCCAATTCACCCTTTGTTCCTTTTTTGCTAGCTTTAAAAAGAAAAATAAATAAATCCCTAAGACTAAAAATATCCGTTTTCTTCTTCTTTTCTGTATTTTTTTTTTGGTTTTCTGAGTTCGCTCTCTCTCTCTAAAACCGCAATGTCCATTTCACCTCTGACCTTTTAGTGAGAGAAAACAGAAAACAGAAACGGGGCGCTTCTTTCTCTCTCTTCTTAACTAACTCCGCTGCTAATGATTTGTTGCGGAGTAATAGCTACTGCGTGGCGCGTTCTGGCGCGTACGATAGGGATTCCTGCGTCTTGCACGTCTTTCGCGTACGATAGGGATTCCTACTCCAAAATGATATGTGCTTTTTTTAGTATGTACTATGTTTATACATTGGAAAACTATACTATTTTTTACAAGGTGGTCAGGATCAATCTTTATCACTAATGATAAAATTGGATCTTTGTGTTTGTTTCATTGCTCAAGCTCAAATTTTAAAATATTTTTTTTTTTTAATTTTATAGTGCACTCAAGCCAAGGCTCTAAACAATCAAACAAGAGTTTATATAGACTTCTTTTTATAATTTTATAAAAGTAAAGGGAAAAGTTTTACAATTTTATATAATTGTTTTCAAATTTTTTTAAATATTTCAAATTTTATAGAAGTAAAGAGAAAAGTTTTCAGAATTTTACACACTTCCTTTTATAAAAAGTAAAGGGAAAATTTATATAGAGCCGAGGCTCTAAACAATCAAATAAGAGGCTACCTCAAAAACTTTACTAGAATAGATTGTTTCGATGCTCAAATATCTTCAAATTTATCATCTTGACATCAAGATGCATAGACATGAGAAAAAAATAGATTTCAAGTTGTGAAAATAATGTATTTTATAATGCATTTTTGGACTATCAATTTTCAAGATTTTCAAGTTTTTATAGATCTGTCGATCTATACTATTTTGAAGCTTTAAACTTTATAAATAAAGATAAAAGTATATTTTAAGACTATCACAAAGATTTTCAGTATTAAAACCACATTTCTTGACACTTTTTGAAGGTAGGCTCTAATTTGATTGTTTAGAGCCTAGGCTCTATACAAACCGCACAAAAGTAAATGGTCTCATTATGTAGAATCCTTAATATATTATACACAAATAATACATGTGTAAATTAATGGGGAGATTTAACATACCCCTTGCCCCATCTTTCTAGTGGTATCCCCTCAAAAAACAAAACAAAAACAAAAAAACAAGAAAATCTAAATTGAGATTGTATACTATAAGACTATTTATTAATATTATAAGGTGGTCACAATCACTCCTAGATATTATAACTACCTAGATCAAAAACATAAAGTTTTTTAGGATGAATGGTACAATGCACATTTCTTTCAAGAAAAAACTTCAAATAATCCCACACAATGTGTGTCAGACTGGTTTTATACTCTATTGTATATTATGCGAGAAAGAGACCTGCATTATTTTTATGATATGTATCCCTCTCCATATCATTTCTCTTTCTGAAAAAAATGTTAAACGATTGTTTCTATTTTCAAATATTTCAAAATCAAAAGGTCCACCTCCTTAAATCTCACCAACAATCCCTCTCTTGAAATTAAATATATCTATTAACACTTGAAAAACTTGAAAAATGAATGTCTAGACAATACATTACAAGATGCATTATATCCAATATTTGATTTTTTTTTTTTCTCATGTCCATATATCTTGAGGTTGAGATGAATGAATTAAGGGTTTTTCGGCATCAAAGCAACTCTTCTAGTGAAATTTTGAGGTATGCGTTAATTTGATTCTTTAGGATATCGCCCATATATAATTTACTTACTGTTAATTTGGTATGGTTTGTATAAGGTTGAGGCCCTAAACAATCAAAATAAGATGCACCTTGAAATAATATTAAAAGATATTATTTAAATACGTAAATCTTTATGATAGCCTGAAAATTAATTAATTTTTTTTCTAATTATAAATTTTAAATCTTCAAAAATAGTATAGAAAAAATAGATATATGAACAATTGACAAATTTGAAATTTGACTGTCTAGAAAATGCTTACAATATGTACTATTTCTAAGACTTAAAATCCATTTTTTCTCATATTCATACATATTGAGGTCGAGATGATCGATTTGATAATTTTTGGGTATCAAAACAACCTCTTCTAGTGATTTTTCAAGGTGTGCCTTAATTTGATTGTCGAGGGCCTCACCCTCATATAAACTTTTTTCTTTAATTAATCAATTAGCTAAATATTAATTTGATAATATTAATTAATTTTAATCGTTAATGACTCTTACATAAAATAATAAATATAATACATTATAAATGTGATGAGTATGAGAATAGTAATAATCATGCTTTGATAATTATAAAAATATAATAATTCACTTAGGATGTGTATGTTAATAACAATAATCATGCTTTCATAATTATAAAAAATATAGTAATTCACTTAGTAACGATATTAAATATAGTTTGGTTAGTCATAAATATAATGATTATGTTATACTATTAGAATTTCAACTAAATAAATTTTATGGTATAAATTTATTTTTTCAAGTAAGAAGAAGAATTAAATAACGTATTAAAATTTTAAGTTTTATTTAAATTAATGTATAAATAATTTTATCATTTTATTAAGTTTATGTCTAATATTCAATCAAATAGTATTTATATCCTTGTTGCTTTGTTTGCGAAAATTTAGTTTACTTTTTATTTGATTCTATATTTTTATTTTACATTTTGAAGATTTATTTTCCTTACAAAATACCATTAACAAAAATATTAAGTGCATGACAATGCAGATGCATGCTACTAGTTTTAAACAATCTGACACAACATTGTGTCGGACCAATTTATTTTAAACAATATGGGGTCTCTCACATATCGTCCCAAATGGGCTTCATTTTTTAAAACAAAACCACCAGACTAACACATTGTCTAAAACGAAGCCTGTCTAGCACATTTTATGGCGGACCGACACAGTTTAAAATGATGCATTTTTTAGCATATATTGTGTCAGACCGTCATCATTTAAAAAAATCGAGAGTAGGTGAGAGAAACATGTTATAAGAAGATATTTCATCCTGAAAGACAATGCTTTTTTACTTCGGGAACAATCCTTAGAAAGTAGAGTCCTGGGCGTATCTCTAATTTCTTCCAATTAAATGCTTGGTGTGGGGCTAGGGGAATTCTTTTTCTAAAAGTCAAATGTGAAGTTAAAAAAATAAAATAAGGAGAGAGAGAGAGAGAGATTCAAATAATTTTTATTTTTTTCAATTTAAGAATGGGTTCTGATATTTTGGCAATTGAATCACTGAATTTCTCCTCGAATTTTGCATGGTGAATAGGCAACTTCAGCGATGCTAATAATAAATGGAAAAGTTTGGAGGAATCCAGCCTTTTTTTTTTTATACATGTAAAATTCAAAAATCACTATCTCATTTCAATTTGTTTTTAAAATGGAATAAAGGAAGTTTAATGAGCATAACTAAATCCGGGGAAATTTTGAAGTGCAAATTATCCAAGTTGTTCCTATTTAGGGGTTATGACTCCAAAGTCTAAACATAGTGGGTTCGACATAGTATGACTACTGATTCCAAGTGGACTAAATTTGATGCCTTTTAATTACTATTGATTCCATATGGACTTAATTTGATGCTTTTTAATTATTATGTTATTTTTCCAAATATCAAATGCATAACAAATGGATGAAATGTTTTTACAAAACATTGCGCTCAAGGCATAGGTGGTTAGGGTAATGGGTGCTACAACCAGACATATTGAATTTTATTGTTGAAAAAAAGACGTTTTTCCCACCAAAATACTAAAAAAAAAAAAAAAGGTTTTTAGAATGCCTATGACCTATTGGCACAAGAGTAGGAGAAAAAACAAAAATTTGAATTTCTAGACACCTAAATGTGACCGCACAAAATGTTTTTCGTTTAATCTTAAGATGTTATTTTTTTCATTTTTTCAAGCAAGTGCAAGGTGAGTTTTATTTTTTCTTTTTAGATTGGTGGCTATGCTGAAGTTACGTCACAAAAATTAGATACTAAAAATACTCCTAAATAACATTAAAAAAAAACTCCTAAAAAGGGGTTTTTAACTTAAAAAATAATGTCCATAGGTTTTTTTCTAAAAAAAATAAAAATATGGCTATAGTTTGTATAAAGTTGCAACCTTAAACAATCCAATTAAGGTGCACTTCTAAATTTTATCCTAAATGTAATTTTGATATAAAAAATTCTTAGGATGACTTGAGAATCTATTTTAATCTCTAATTATAAAATTATAAACTCTAAAAATAGTTTAAATTAAGTACATCTATAAACACATGAAAATATTGGAAATGGACGGTTTGTATTGCGAGATATATTATTTTGTGGACACGAAATCTTTTTTTCTTTCTATATGCATGCATCTCGTTGACTAGATGATCAATTAAAGGGTTTTCTAATATTCAAACAATTTTTTATGATAAATTTTTGAGACGCACCTGTAATCCTACATTTCAAGGTGGCAACTTTATATAATTTTTTCCCTTTAAATAATGGTTCGTAATTAAGTTGGGATTAGAACGTAAATCCAAAGTGATGCGTCTTAGTTTAGTAGCAAGTTTTTGAACCTTGCACATACTTTCACGCTGAACCACAAAGCCATGAAACCCTAATATGGAGGTAAATACCCAAATTTTCTATCTCCATACACAAATAATGTGCAACACATTATTGTTGACTACTTTCACCAAACACGTATAAATTATATGTATGGAAACATATAAAAAGTTTATATGTGTGGAAATATACAAAAAGTTCATTTGATATTAAAATGAATGATATATATATATATGGGTGTGGTTTCCATAAGGTTGCAAACTTAAACAATCCAAATTTTATTATAACATATAATTTTGTTTTTAAAAATTCTTAGGATTATCTTAAAATCTATTTTCATATTTAATTAGAAAATTTAAAACTCCAAAAATGATTAAAATCAAGTAGATCTATAAACATATAAAAATCATGAAAATGGATGGTCTAGATAATGTGTTGCATGATGCACTATTTCTTAGACTCAAAAACATTTTTTTTTTTTCCATATTCATACATCTCAATGTCGAGATGATCAATTAGAGTTTTTTCAATATTAAAATCACCTTTCTGATAGAGTTTTTAGGTACATATGTGATTCTACATTTTAAGGTTGCAACTTTATTTAAACTTTACACATATATATATAATTTGACTGAGGGTTGGCAATGGGATGGGCCCAGGCAAGCTCATGGTGGGCTTGACCCTTGGGCTAAAGTTTTTGGCCAGGCCCTAGTTTCGTAGGGACTAAACCATGCAGCCCACCCATTGCCGACCTTAAATTTGTCGATTATTTTCCCTATTGGGGGAGGGTCTCTTCTATTTCAAAGGGAACATTACTTAATTAGACATGCAAAATTATACTACCGCAAAAACCCATTGGCAAAGGTTATTTTAGTGTGAAAAAGCATCAAATTAATCATCTCAACCTTGAGAAATATGACTAATGAAAAAACGATTTCAAATTATAAAAATAGTGTACCTTGTAACATATTATCCGAACCATTCATTTTCAAAATATCTAATTGCTTATAATTGCATTGCCGGAACCACAAATAATTAGGCGAATATTGTTGTGCGGTCGCTCATGCATCAAACGATGGTGGCACTAGGCCCTAATCAGACCCAAGACCCAACTGGGTAGACCCGACCTCGGGTCCGGGTATGAGTCAAAATTTTGGAGCCAAATACTATTCGGCTGTTGCCAGCCCCTGTCTGGACAGTCTCTCCCTCTCTACGCAAAGCAGCACCAAACATGGCTTCTTTCATTCGTTCTCACATTAATACATTGTAGTTTGGAACTTTCGGTGCGCTTTTCATCACTTGAAAACCAAGGAAGCTCTCTCTCTCTCTCTCTCTCTCCAATTAAAAGAGAGGGGAGAGAGCCTTCTAGAGAGAGATTCAGAGAGCGAGGAGAGAGGTTCTCTTTGTATAGGCCCGAATTTCCTTGTCATTCTAGAGAGAGAGATGGCATCTGCAATGTCGCCGTCCACTTCCTTTCTCCTCCTCGTTTTCTTCCTTCAATTGAAGCACCTCTGCAATTCTATTCTGGTTAATGGTATCTATCATCTTCTCCTCTGTTTTGTGCTTCAATCTTTCCTTCAGTAAAAAATGCATAAGAAATTATCGATCTTTGCGTTCAGGTGATGGTCTGTATTCTGTAGAGTATTCTCGTTTCTCTCTGAAATCTCATATGAAAAATGTAGGTTCTTTTTGGATCATATACACAGCGTGCTTAATTGTTTGTTTTTTTGTTTTTTTTTTGGTTTTATTTCGGCCACGAGTGTGGAGATCTGCAAATGAAAATAGTTTCCTTGAGTGGAAGGGCAGAGATCCAGCACCTTCTGCATTTCTTTACTTTTCTCTTTTCTCTTTTTTGGAAATTTTGGGCTTAATGTAAAAATTCATCGAGTGGAATCTCAGGAGATCTGTGATCCTTTATGCTTTTGGAAGGATTTTACATATGTCAAATAATCTATATTCTCCAAACTGTTTTCATCTCACCTATCTCATTTCATGGAATCATATAAACATATATCCTTTTCAAAGATCATTTTATTTCTCATATTTATCTATGCTTACCTGAATGAAAAATCATTTTGGGGAAATTGAGAGATCCGTAATTTATCTCGTGTTCAATTGGCTTTTCACAAGTAGTAGTATCACAAGATGTCGAAGACATTATTCTGATCTCCGTTGTTCAAGTCCCTACTGTTTGACAGATATGGTCTAACCTCAAATGTGTTTTCTCTGCACTCTGTTTGTGAATAGTTTGGCAAATCTGTGACATATATATTTTCATCGTTGGTGTCTTCCATCCTGCAACTCAGCTCGTACATTTGGTGGAATTAGGAACAGGAACTAAACACAGTTTCACTGTGATCAAGCATTTCACTCTTTTATATATTGAGGGTGGTTGTAACAGACCATGAAACTTTTTATTTTCCCACTTGAGTTGAGCTTCAATGGCATCCGACACCTACATTACAATACTTTTCTTCCATGGTTTTCTCAGCATTATACATTTTGGTCAAGTAAGCATATGATTTAAACTTGAAGCTAACCAGCTAAGCAGTTCAGGTCATGAGCTATCTCAAAATGATACAGTGGCATCGAGCAGCCAATATTCCATGTATTTATAGTTCAATTGAATTATTTATAGATATACTTCTATTCTAAGAACTTCCATAACCAGATATGGTCATTCCAAACATGCGGTTTTATTTGGAATTTTAGGTATACGATCAACATTTAGTAGAAAGGTTGATTTTTTATTGTAAACTTGCACTCAAACGTGCATGCTTCTCAGGGCTTTCCTCTGCTTTTGGTTGGTGTGTGGGGAATGAACCTGTACTCTTAAAAATGAAAGCCAACAAGTTCATTGCGCATTATGCAAGCAATCAAGAATTTTTTTGAACCATAATGCATGTGGATCAGGTAATTCTTCATACCAACAACCTCTGAGACAAGTTAAGCTTTGGACTTATTTCTCGACTGAATATATGTAATTTCTGTACTATATGTTTCCTGGTTTATAGAACATGCCAAAGCCAAAAGGCAGCATGCCACTTGAGTGGTCTTAAACTTACAATGATGGCCTTGGATCTTGGAATTCCATGTACTTAGTCATAACAGCTTCCTATTGTGTGTAATTTGATATTAATTTAAAAATAAAAAAAAACAAAAACTTAAACTCAACTGTATCTTCACCCTTCCAAGACCTACCATTCATATTTGAGTACTTTGCTTTCTTTGTTGCAAGCTTTAGCCTATGGACAGTTTCTAGACACATGTGACCTACCACAGTAGCAGTTGAACAGGTAGCTCTCATTTTGGCCTATAGACTTAAGGCTTCAAATACTTGTTCATTTGAGTGGATGGTTGATGCTAGAGAATGAATATCTTATCACGTAAAACCATAAGCCAGCAATTTAAAAATTAGCCTTGGTTACAGTTTGCATGCAGCTGATCTTCTTATATGCTTGAGTCTCCTGGTGTCTGAGCAATCCATATACATTGAAGCTGTGTTCATCAACAGGTTTTGAGGTTGCGCCAGCTCCCAGTTTCAATGGACATAGTTGGCCAGGATCAGCTGCAATTTCTCCCTCCTATCCTTCTCCTTTCCATGCCCCTTCCCTTATTCCAAGCCCTGCAAAAGCTGCAGATCAAACCATACGACATTCAGAACTGGCTCCTACGCCTGATCCTGAAAGAAACTCACCATTGCCAGAGCCAACTGAAGGTGCCAATGAGGAGAAAACAAGTCCAGCGAGGGAGCCATCTCCAGCCCCTTCTGAGGATATCTCTAGACCCGCAGAACATGAGGTTGATAATGCACCACCCGAGGAAACTGATCCCAAGACTGTAAAATGGTGTGCAGTTAGGGATGAATTCGTTGACTGCCAATACTACATAAGTCTCTTAAAACCGGTGGACAACTATAGCTGGAAATGGTACATTTAGTAGTAAATAATTGTATTCATTGGCTCTTTCACTTTTATCCTCTCTTCATGCCTGACAAGTTTCTGGAGCTTTATTGATCACAGACAAACATTTCTTTCCTATATATACAGACAAAGATTTCTTTCCTCTTTGCCTTCTATTTCCCAAGTTGGCATCAAACCCTTCCAGCAGAGCCCATTGTGAATAGTGGTATGTTATCTTGAAATATACCTAAGCTACTTGAAGTGACAAGATCTGGTCAGTGTTTCAGAAAGGTGCCATCCAGGAAAATGAGGCAAAGAGAAGTTGATATATATTTCTTCTTGTATGGATGTGCATACTTTGATGACCGAGTCTTTGTTGGTTTCATTTTTGTACTAATTTATGATCTTCTTATCTTCATTGAGAATCGAGGAGCTTTCTTTTTGTAAGATCATGCATTGTATAAAAGAGACTTGTAGTTGCAATGACATATTTTGAAAGCATGGCAACTAGTTGCTCACTGTCTTCCTGCACATACAGTGTTCAGAGGCAAACAACCCAAGAATGCTTGCAGGCAATAAAGGCCAGGGAAGCTGACTTGATAGTTTTGGATCCTGGTTTGGCATACATTGCATTCCTGAATTACTCCATGAAATCAATTCTAAACGAAGTTTACTGCAACCATGCCCAGACATATGATGCAGTGGCTGTTGTGAATAAGAAGGCTTGTGAACGTAGTGAAACAATTAGCATACAGGATTATAAAGGCAAGAGATCATGCCATGGATTATATGCATCAGCAGCTGGATGGAACTATCCCATCCACACTGTCAGATCGTACCTTCCACACCAAGGAAATGATGTGAAAATTGTAAAAGATTTCTTTTCTGAAACTTGTGCACCCTCAGAATTGGAGGGAACAGGTCTATGCACCGGTTGTGGAAATCAAAGCTCTTGCCTTGCTGATAGCCCTTATTCTGGTGATTTGGGTGCTTTCCGCTGCCTCATTGAGGAGGTGGGAGACATTGCCTTCGTAAAGGCTGATACCCCGCTGCTTTACTCAAAGGAGGGCCCCTATAATCAGTCATGGTCAACAAAATCTATCAATCAATTCATGTATGTATTTGTGAATGTGAGAAATAGTAGAGTAGTATCCTTCAAATAAATTATTGCTTGCTGTGGTCAAATAACTTTAAAATTACTTGTTTGCAGGTATCTTTGTCCCAAGGGTGGCTGTAGAGCTATTAATGGTTACCCCGGAACTTGCAAGTAAGTTTTTATTACTTACCCGCCTTATCAATCTCATTTTGAATCATTAGTCTCGGATCAAAGGAGATAGCACTTGTCCAACAACAGAAAGGTTGCCATGGAAGTTAGTCTTATTGTATTTAAGACAAATTAACCCAAGCCTATAGATCAGCTTTAGTTCCTTCCCCCTTGTCCATTTCCAGCTTACTTTTATATTATTGCCCGTTCTTTTTTGGGGTATTTTCATTTTTATGTCAGTGGCTGCTTCAGCCATGTTGAATTATGGGGTTCTTTTTATTGCTCTATTTGAAATATTGGATATATTTGTTTCTCGTTCAGCAGCATTATTGAGTATTTGAGCCCATCTTGAGGTGAGTGATTTCGTTGTTCTCAGATTTGGAAGTGTTCCTGCAAAGACAATAATGGCACCTAATTCTATTTCAAGCAAGAAGAGATTGGCCATTTTGCAGACGTTGCTGAATGCAACCTGGGCTGATTCTCTTTATACAGGGAGAAATGGTGCCAGCCACCTACTTAGCTCTGGGTAATTCCACAAAATCTCTAGCTGTCTAAATACATGCAATTTATATGAATTCTTGTGTTACAAGGGGCTATACACATTACAGAAAATTGAAAAATTTCAGGTGCATTTGAAATAAAATAATATCCTTGAGTGGCAGACGTTTATACATTTATATAAGATCAGAAACTTATTAACATTTTCAATAAGAAGTGAGGGAGGGGAGACAAATGTTAATCGCATGATTTAAGGTTCATGCAAAATTCGTCAGAATCACTCACTATTATCCCACTAACTTTTACAGCTCTTGATTTTCATCTTGATCCATGTGCAGTACACAGAGCTTAGCAGAAGTTAAGCAGCTCACAAGGTCATATCTCGGTGTCTCTGCAACTATTTCTCAGACTTTACAAGAATTAAATATTGAGAAGGTCCAATCTGCAAATGCTACATCAATTCCAGTTTTAGGTATGTGAAAGGAACTGATTCCCTGTTCATTTTAGTGTTCTCTTTTTTTCATTCTTCTTTCCCGGGCATTAGACTTCTTTGCACCCAGAACTTGAGTTATGGTTTCCATTTCATCTCAGTGTTTCCCTTTTCTTCTTTGCTCATTTTGAATCTTTGATACATTTATCATGATAGTTTTTAAAAAGCTAAGATCCATATGTTTTGTTATTTCAGAATATACTTCGTGTTCTACATGCATTCTGGCTCGACATCTATGGCTTGCTGTTATATTTATATCCTGGCTCGGGCTTCTGTGATTCACCATTTCCTCATAGTGACAGAATTACTACACTCTTATGAAGATTAAAGTTTCATTCCTCTATCTCGTATAGAGTGAGAAAATCTACAAAGTAATTCCTCTGTTTACCTCTCTTTTAAGTAGGAGACAGTTTATCCAGGTCCAGAAAAACAATTAACAAAATGATGAAGGCCTTTTTAACAATTTAAGAAATGAGTCCATTACAGAGAAGATATACACTAGAGGAATAGACAGATAACACCACCAAGGTCACAGGGACATAATAATTCTACAAAAGCTCTGCCGCTTTCTCTCTGATTAGGGCAAGATTGATCTTGGGATGATCACATCCCCAATGTTGTTGTGCCAGGGGTCAGCCAGGTGGGTCGCCAGGTTCTCCAATGGCCCTGTTCCTGGACGAGCCGATTGCTGAACGCAGAAGCCCACAAACGCCAACAATGCAAGGCGACCTGATGAATAGAATAAAAAGAAGATAAATTTTGAACGCATATCAGAAGTGAGTATGAAGTTCTTTCTTGTTTTGTGCTGGTTGGTATGAAATGTATGTCATAACTGAGATTAATAGCAATGATAATTGAGAACACGGTCTAAAAACTTGTACTCTCTTATACTATTAATTAAAGGTTAACATTCTCAAAAAAAAACTTGGAGAGCCCCACTCGTCCGAGTTAATTGGAACTGGTTCCCCGTCTGTTCCGGGATAGCAAGACTTGGATGATCCAAGTCTACCTGAGTGCAAGTCTGACTCGAGTCTATCCTGAGTCCATCCAAGCCTTCAATAAATCCATCAGTATATTTTCTAAGGATGAGAATCACCGCACCGACTCCCCCTGGGCAGTGCCCAAGTTCTGGGGTTTCTCCGAGTTTCAAAATACTGATTGAGATGAATGACATAAGCATAGAAATGGAGGGGTGATTAGTACTCACCGTTCTTAACCTCCTTGACCTTGTATTCTTCGAACTTGACGGGGTCCTTGGAGTAGCCAAGGGGGTCAAAAGCTCCTCCGGGGTACTTCTTCTTCTCGGGGTCCTTCTCCATGCTCCTCTGGTGCTCGACAAAAGCGATGGACAAGAACTCTATGACAAGTATGGTGGGGAGGGTGCCCCATGGCACAGGGTTCCCAAGGTAGGTGGCCTGCCCTCCTGGGGTGGCAGCCCACTCCTGGGCTTTGACCCAGTTACCCAGCCCCAGTGCCTCTGGAATCAAGATCCCTGGCTGCAAATAATTTAAAATTTTCAGAGAGAAAGATGGGGTAAGAAGTCACACTTTGCATCGAGCTAGCAAATATGGCATAGAAAAACTAGAGAGACAGAATTGAACGGATTGGTAGGTGACACTCACGACTGCAAGCATGGCCCATCTGCAGTGAATGAGCTCAGACTCCTTGAACCTCTCCAGGTTCTCCGGTACCTCACCCAGACCAAGTGGGTCAAAGCCAAAATCACTTCAAAAATTACAAGAGAGAGAGAAAAGCAAGATCAGAGGGGACAAAATTACTGAGAATAGTACAGAGAGAGAGAAGCAACATAAGATTACTCGGACTAGTATAGAGAGAGCAGATACCCAGGGGCTGAGCCATCAAGATGTGGAGGGCGGGGCTGGCCAGGCATCCATTCAGCAGACATGGTGAAGCGAGAGGAGGATGAATTGAGAGAGGGGAAGGAGAGAGATGGGGTGAATGCCGACTTGGTGGAAGATAACACTGATGGCATGGCTGCCAATTGACAACATCTTCCTAGACTCGCCATCTCTCTCTACCAACTCAACTGTGATGGCTGATGCTGAGATCTGAAGCAGTAGCAGTAGCAGTAGCAGTGGAATGGAAAAAGAAGAGAGAGTATAAGTGGAGGTGGGGGCAAATCCGAAAGTCGCATTCTATTGGCTCCGTAATCTGCTCTTTGGCTTCCTATTGGATAAGTGAAGAGCCCTGCCCTCTACACCAACCACGTGGCTTTGCCCATATCTGGGTACTGCATTTGTGGTGCTCCCCCTCCTCTGCTATTTCTCTCTCGATTACCTCAAAAAAATATCTCAAATCATCCCACTTAACCACAGAGGTATTAAACCTTCAGTTGATAAATACAAATTGCAATCATCTTCAAAAAGGGCAATAAAAAAAATAAAAAAATAAAAATCTTCAAGAATGAGAAAAGGAAAATAAAGTAAGAGATCATGTTGATGTAATTAGAAATCCAAGATACTAGTTATGAGATTTACGGCGTGTTTGAATTTTGGGATACGAGGTTTTGAAAATTGCATCCTTCAGACATGCTAGCGCTACGCAGACAGTGATCTTACGCTATTTTTAACATTATAAATTGATACGGAGAGCCCCTCATGGTACCTATGGTATTTAGTTCTTTGGAAGATGTAGTTATGAGGAAGAAAGCCCGGACTTAATCGGTTAGCACTTGTTAATTCCTATCAAAGAGTAGGGGTCATCTCCACTTACTCACCCAAAAAAGATGCGGTTACAAAAATCATGTCTTCCAAAATTCAAACATTCCCTAGGAATCAAAACATATCCTAAATTAATGCAAATATATTTCTCCTTGGGACTTCAAAATAGTGCCTTGGAACATTGCATAGAGTCTAAAAAATTAAAAGAAAAAGTTTATATAAAGCATCAACTTTCAACTTTAGAAGTAACAGGCATCTCAAAATCAATTTGAAAAGATATTTTCGGTGTCGAGAAATGTCCGATTATTTGTGGTTCCATTGATCTACAATTTTCATCTTATTTATGAGTGCGCATTTATCAAAGTCGTGACAGTATGCGTCAAATATGTACTTTCCAACTAAGATGGACAATATAGATTAGTGCAACTTTACTTCTATAAACAAGGTTCCTGCCTAATATAAACCATAGCCTAGCCCTAGAGAAATTTGAGATGCATGCTTGATTATTCAAAGGAAAAAACTTATATGAGGTGTTAGCCTTATAATGTAGAAGTAAGGCGCACCTCAAAATTTGATGGGAAAATATTGTTTTGATGCATAAAAGCCTTCAGATTGGTTATCTTGATTTTAAAATATATATAAAAAATTTCGAGTCTTAAAAGTAGTGCATCTTGTAACACATTATGTGTATTGTCCATTTTCAATATTATGAGAATCTATTTAATTGCTTGATGTGCACTATTTATTGAGCTTTATATTTTATATTTGCGATTGAAAATAGATTTTCAAAGCATTGTGAGGTTTCGGCATAGAAATTGACATGGTTTGAAGATCTGTTTTATTTTGATTGTTTAAAGTGGATGCCTCATATAAACCGCAATCTTATTGAATATGTTGAAGAAAGTACAAGCATTTTTTTTTTTTTGACAACGTTAACAATATTTTCATTTCATTATATACAACGGAGCAAAGCTCCAAAATAACATGACGAACAAATAAAGAAATACAATTCTCTACTTCCAAAGAAGACCGTAAATTAACAGCACATACCTCCCTCATTCCCAAAGGGTCCAACATCACCATCTACCTTGTTTCGTGTCCAAATCAATTTTCTCATACATAGAGCTCTCTAGCTTCCTCTACTTGACAGAAACTTTACACCATAACATTCAATAAACTCCATCTATAAAGAATAGGGCAATGATTTCATGCAATTATTGTATAGTAATATGATGTCCAGTCGGGCTGCACTTGTGACGTGACCCACAAGAACCAGTGATCATAATTTAGGGTTTACGAGAAAAGTTGGAGGGAGGTTAAAGAGAGGAAAGAATACTACTGTATTATACCACAGATTTAAGCTTCCAGATGAAGGCTAAAAAGCTTCAACTGCTACGACAGGGCTCGCACAGTCCCACTAAAAGGCCAATCCACATCTTAGGCGTTGATCCATTATCAAAAAATACAGGGAGCTTCAAGACCCACGGTAGGCACGAGAAACCTGTTAACAGGGTACCTGACCCCCATAGAAAGATAACTCCTAGGAGTTAATGTTTATTGGAAAGTTGAGAGTCGGGTTAGAAAGAGAGGTTTTCAAAAGTTAAAAAATGGCCATTACATGAAAATAACAAGTATCATATCACTAACAGCCCCAAACTTTCACTAAAAATGCAAATATAACAATTAAGGGGAAAGGTTTTTATACTTCCCCTGCTATATGGAAGATATATACTTCCTTGTATGGAAAACATATACCCCCATCCAGCTGTCCAATTTTGATCTAGAGTCACTGGCCGTTTGATCTAGATTTAATGCTTCAGAATATTTTATTGCTATTTTTTTTACAAATTATATGAATATGAAATTTGGTACATGTCATCATCTCAATAGGTTGTGCCTAAAAAATATTAAAAAATATTTATGATAAAATAAAATGACAAAAATACCCTTAAAACTTTTAGGGGCATTTAGGTTTTTTTTTTTTATTGATAATATTATTTTTATAGGTGCGCATTTAAGAGAGGAGTGGACACCTAAATTTTGGTGTCAAAATATTTTGTAGAAAAAATTAAAAATAAAATAATGTAGATGTATGACATAGTGATTGGAGCCATCTCAGCCATCCATTCAGAATGGACGATTGGATAGGGGGAAGTATATAAGCTTTGTATACTAGCAGAAGTATAGAAAACTTGCCCCATAAAGAGACAAGAAAAGTTGTCAAACTACTCCCTAGGTTTGAACATTTAGTATCTTACCCATATTTTTTTATCTAACTTGAAATAGGCCATTTTTAAATCGAATTACATATAAACCCAACACATCAAAACGAGATTTTAAAATTATCAAATCAAATCTATTGTAAAATGTTAAAGAATCCAACTTCTAGGCATGCTTCGAAATAAAATAAAAAATTGGAAGTCAAAATTCACATTATTGTCCTTTGCTTTATATAAGGGTGCGGTTTGTCTATAGCTTAGGCTTTAAACTATCAAATTAGAGCCTACCTTCAAATAGTGTCGAGAAATATGGTTTCAATATGGAAAATCTTTTTGATAGCCTTAAAATATATTTCATCTTTATTTATAAAGTTTAAAGCTTAAAAAATAATGTAGATCGAGAGATCTATGAAAACCTGAAAATCTTGAAATTTGACGGTCCAAAAGTGCGTTACAAAATACACTATTTCCAAAACTTGAAATCCATTTTTTTATCATGTCCATGCATCTTGATATTGAGATGATGAATTTGAGGATATTTGAGCATCAAAACAATATCTTCTAGTGAAATTTTTGATGTAGGCTCGAATTTGATTGTTTAGAGCCTCGGCTCTATATAAACTTTTCCCTTTTTATAATGGTCATTATTGTTGCATGAAACCTCCCTTTGTTGAAAGGAAAATCGTTTGATGGGGGCTGGACCATCTTCCTACATATGCGTTCCAGAGTATAAAGATGCAAACAATTGGTCCATCTAAAAACAATTGAAACTAACTGTCTAAATATTTTCTTAATAGAATTATTATTTTTAATTTTTAAAATTTATTTATTTTCTCATTTAAAGAATACATATCTTTAAAAATTAAGTCAAAAAATCCACCTCACTAATAGATTTTTTAAGAGGCACCTCATTTTTAGAAGAACTCGTAGAAACCAAGTCCTTCTTGAAAAGATTGCGGTAAGCCACTCCTCACTAAACTTTCTCAACATTCATTCGACACTTAGCACTTGGGTTTGGTAATACTAAAACATTTAAGAGGTAGAATAGATATTTATAGGAAAAAAAATTAAATATATTTTATTTTGGGGAAATGGTCTAATGTAACGGTTGTATAGAAGTATAATGCAGCCACACCTTTAGAAAACCTTATTTTTGGCATTTGTATGACCCCAAATTTTGCACACACATTCTCTTCATCCTCATAATCAAATCGTATGAAAAAAAATTTTCAATTTGCACCTCAAAGTTAGTGCCCATCCAACGATGAATCTCGGCCATCCATTTGGTGAATTTCAAGATCTAGACCTTGACAAATTCAAAATCACTTTTTTCTTTTTTAGCATTATTAATCTAATGATAATAACGCTATATAAAAATTTTGAGAATAAAAAATCCTTCTGAAGCCTATATCTAACCATCTCAATAAAATGTACGGCTTTTATTAATTTGGCTAGAATGAAAACTTTTTATACTATTTTTTCAAAATTTTCTTTTTTGTGATTGTTTTTCAGAATGAAAAAAGTGTACATGTAAAAATTCATGTCAAACAAATATCTCTAACATAACTTTTGAATAATATTTGCATTATACTACTATATAACCGTTGAATAAAATCATTCTGTTGTTAAAAAAACAATTATTACTCTACTCTACAACCGTTGAATGAAATGCTTCTGTTGTTAAAAAACAATTATTACTCTATCTCAGTGACACTATATCTTGTGAAATATATACGTAAGGTTAGTACATGCCATAGTCAATAAATGCTTTTATTTATACCAAAAGTTCATATTTTAGGATTGATTAATCACCTAAAGTACCCATATGTAAAACATTACATTGCAGACTAAAGGGATCAAATGACAATCAGACCAGGAAAATGTTTTTTTAGCTTGTGAGAAGAAAATTGACTTCTCAAAATAGAGACATTTTTACAAGAAAAAGAATTTCCGATCCCAGATTTTGGATCCAAATGGCAAAAAATGAGCCAATTCCCTGGAAAAAATATTACCTGAAAGTTATTCTATAGGCATAGGGTGGTCTCCGTGCATGCACATAACAGGTTGTTCACACGCGTACGTACTAGTTCTCACATAGACATTTGGTCTGTAAATGCTCACATTTGGTTTGCAAGACCAATATCAACCTATAATTTTTTTTTGGGAAAATAATGTATAGATCTGTTATATTGATCGTTATTATGTAATTACTTCCAAGTTTTTATTATTACATTTACACATATACTCATTTTTTTGCCATCCTAACAAACTTTTTTTCAAAAAAGACAGCCTATTTTCGGTTTTTTCAAAAACTAAAATGGGACTGAATTCGATTTTTTAAAAATGAAATTTCTGTTCCGTTCTTTAAATAAAAAGGGATGTTGCCGAAGAAGAAAAATAGCATAATAAAGATTAAAAGACCAAACAAAAAAGAAAAGAACCTCTAACCATTATATGAGAAAGGACTCTCTTTAAAGAAACTGTGTACAAGGCAGCCTTGCTTTGGCCAACAAATATGAATAAAAAACATTCCAAACACAACTTGAATACACTATTCCACCTTCGACTTCAACTTACTTTCTAATTCTACTTCTTTCGTACATTATTCAATAAAATGAGTGCAGCTCCGCAGCTTCCTAGCAGCCACTTCAACCAACCTGATGTAGACCATCGGAAACAGATGCCACCATGAGAAAGAGAAAATAGACGCCCATAATCATTGATATACAGGAAGGTCAAAGGACCCTGGGCAAGATGGGGCATCAAGATTTCCCTCTGAACTCGAGCACTCAGCCCCCGGCTCTTTCACCATTTTCAAGAAGTAGCTGTGCCTGCATAGATGGTCACTTTCTAAATCAAACGAAAAATTTATAGAAAGAGATTTACATTGAATGGAGCTTCATTGCAGTTGATATTTTTCCAACAAAGAATGAAAAAACAACCGTACCAACGTGTGTCTGCCGTCAGCTCAGGATGGAAAGCTGTTCCTAGTATGTTCCCTTGTTTCACAGCCACAATCACTTTTTCTTCTGGCTGAGTTTTGTCCTGCCATAGAATAAAATAAAATAAACATAAAGAAGCGGCAAGCCAAAAGACAAAAAATCGTAACCGAAAGATAGTTTCCCTCACACACTAACACGAAAGGTTCCCCAAGTGTGATGCTCAAGAAATATTATTCATCAACTGATGTGAGTACTCTTAATACATATTAACAAGCATCATCATCATCATCATCAGCCAAGCTTTATTCCAATTATTTGGGATCAGCTAAATGAATCATGCTCCTCCATTCTTCTCTATCAAGGGCACATAACATAAGTTCAAGATTCATGATAATGTGGCAAAGTTTTTATGTTGCCTGTCTACTTAACGTAACCTACCTCTTTTACTCAGGCTTTAGATGGTTAAGGCAAAGTTTAAGGTCCTCACCCTTATTAGACAAAGCAAGCAACAAAACTATATCTAGAAAAAACTCGTCGCTAACCTTAACATTGAATGGCCCTATAATTTCTCTACCACTCAAACCCCTGCTTTTCAGGATTTAAGGTGACGAAATTTGCATAAACCTGAACAAGCATTCCAGATTCTCAGAGAAGTTCCCTATGTACACCCATCAACTGATAAACCCTCATAACAAATGAAAGCTGCAGGACAGCCACTATCCACACAATAAATGATTTGCTGCAAGATCGTGAAAGATTAAGAAGCTACAACCTAGAAACCTAACTTGGACATCATTCACAAATTTCTACGTTATTCATGCCTGTATGCATAAGTACGGAGTCTGCAAGGCATGTGCAGTTTATACTGCACACAATTGTCTATGATGGATTAATCCTTACTCCATGTTCATCTGATTTTTAACATGTTACCAGAGCATGATCAAAGAACTCTCTCAAAACCCTTTGCATTAAGTTCCTTCATAGAACCCAATTGCAGATTTATTTGCTAAATCAATCACCAAATGCTGCCATGCAATGGAGCTGTCTCCTCATCCTCCTCACCATTCATACGTCATTCTGAAGGGCAATGTTGATGTTATGAGGCATTTATGTGTCTTTCACATATCATGATCGCGTCTGTATGTATTATGAGTACCATTGCATAGGGCATTTATGTCTTTTAAACCTATACGGTTTGTGTAACAGTGCCAGGTATTAATCCCTAATCCAGACTTTAAGAAAATCTATTTAGTAACAAAAATGTCATCTCTATAAGTACTGCATCCATCTACGTTCATCGAGACTCTAAAATAAGGAAAATCACTCTCCTTAGCAGGGCATCTTGCTCTTCTTCACTATCACAATTCAGAAGTATACTTTTTTTTTTTTTTGCCCCCCTTAAGGCCTAAAATATTATCCAGAAGCTAATGTTTCTCTTTGATAAATAAGCCAAGAGCAAGCAACTATGTGTATAAAGCAGTAAATACCGGCTATCTTTTGTCCCTTCAGAAAAGGAAAAAAAGATTGCCCCACACACTCGTAAGTCATAAGCAACATACTTTCAAAATAAAACAAGCCTTAAGCAATATTTCTATATAAAAGAATTGGTCACCTTATTCACACCAAAGAAAAGAAATAATATTTTCATAATAAAACCAAAAGAAAATTTGGATCATTACAGAAATAAAAGAAATAAAATTAAAAGAAATCACAGTGTGAACCGTTGGTTTATGGGATCTTGTTATTCATTAATTTTTTTGAAACCGGCTTCATGCATTGTTGGCCGCATTTTGTAAATACAAACATGTATTGTAAGCTAAGAACATTTCTAGAATTACTCTTTCGCATAACTTACTGCATTAGTACCCAAGATGATAATGTGATTCATCTTCTAAGTTTTCTTTGAGGTCGTGGCCACATATCTTAAATATGAAGTTATGAACTGACAAATTGAAATTTTCATTGGCCTATGAAATTATACCAAATCACATCTCAAATGACTTAAGTTGTTGCCGAATCAAAGTTTAAAGGGTATTCTTTTAGTAAGGGAAACCATAAAAAAAAAGGTTGTGAGTTACGAGATATTAATAACAAGTTAACAACAATGGTGCCAACAGTAATTATTATTACTATTATTATTATCAATATTCTTGCTGTTTTTCTTATTATTGTCGATGTTCTTTGTGAGATGCTATCAATGAATGAGTCCATGATTAATGAATTTTAACACAAACAAAAGGGAGATTCACCTCTCCATAAACCTTCCCCTATCAAGTAAGTGAATCAATCTAAACTGGACCTCAGGTTAGTGGAATAAAAAAGTATCAAATTAGGATAACCAAAATTTTGCTTCCCAATAAGGAACTTTTGTTCGAAAGGTTAGAAGAAAAACCAAAGGCTCCCTCATCATCAAATTGGCTGACTTCCATGCACAACAGAATTCAAACCAAAACTGGTGTAGCATAGAGTATCCTTGAACATATCACAAGAACCTCCAGCCCAATGCAGACTGATACACCATCCGTAGGCAGAAACTTATTGATGCTTATTTTCTTGGTGTACAAATAAACTGATGCTTGTTTGGCAAACCCCAAAAGCAACCACATTATTGAATCATGATTTCTAACCATGGATAATTTAACATTTGAAAAAAAGAAAGAAAAAAAGATGGAATCAATGTGTTCTAGGATTATATGTTGTAATGAGAAAATCAATCAGTAAGAAAGGGGAAAACAACCAAAGCAAATAAATCAATTATACATGGAGCTCGCTTCATTTAAGAAACTCGGAAAGATCAAAGAAAGATAGCATACCTCCTCATTTTCTCTATGAATAGATTCTGAATCTCTTGAATTGGTGGGTGAAATGGGGTAATCAGCTAAGACTTGGACAGAGGGGCCTGCTTCAACAATAGCAGGTGCACGAATGAAAATCCCTCGAAAACTTGAAGCCCCACCTTCCTTTTCTGCAAGCTCAGGAACTGAAAGCTCTGCCTCAAAACTTTGAAGCTGCATAAACAAACAGGCCAGGTTCATGGGGAGGAAACAAGCAAAAATTTTTGGAAATCAAGAACTACGTCAGCACTTTCCAGCATCAAGGTAACCTACCAACACAAAATTTAGTTTTTTTTTTTTTTCCCAAATGGTTTAATTAAGCCCATGGTTAACAAAATATATTGGAGTGAAAAGATTACCTGGCTTCCAAAGAAATTCCTATGAACTGTGCAGTCCAGACCGCCAACAAGCCCCTGCCCTCCAGCTTTTTGCCCTGAAAGCCTTTTCATTATTATCTTCAAACCCACAGGCGAGCTCAACCATTAATGTCAAAGTTTCATTTTTTCACCCCATGAAAAAAAACAAAACAAAAAAAGCAGTTTATTGGGCAAACAAAATTACTCACCCACTGCTTTATTTGCCAAGAAAATAAGACCTGCACAAGTCCCCCACACTGGCTTCCCCATTTGAATGAAGTTTCTAAGTGCTGGAAACTGCATTTTAACCTATTACTGAATACAAGCCATTACAGATATCGAAGTATCACCGTGAACAGAGAAGAGATCCAAACACAAGGCGGTAGTAGAAGATAACATCAAAAATAACAGTGATAGTTCATAAAGACTTATCCTTTGGGTCAGTAATATTCAGAGAATGGGTTGTTCATTACATTACAGTAAAAGAAGAAACCCAACAACAATGATAATTCATAAGGACCTGAGCAAAAACCCAATTTTTTTTTATGACGAGATATATTGTTCAGTGTAAGAGGCAAATGGTATAGAAATATGAAGAGAGAGAGAGAGAGAGAGAGAGAGAGAGAGAGAGAGAGAGAGAGAAAGAGCGAGAGAAAGAGATGGTAATACAGTTACCAAGTTATGGTACTCAGCAAGCTTGGCCATGGTGGTGCTCTCCCCTCCAGGGATTATAAGGGCATTGACATGCTCCAGCTGCTCTGGCTTCCTTATCTCCACACCCTTCACTCCCAACCTTCTCAACGCTGCCACAATCACCAACAAACAACCAAACCAAGTTTAGTTTAACCAAACATGGCAGCAGCAGTAGTAGTATTAGTATTAGTATAGAAAAGTAGAGAGAGGAAAGCAAATGAATAGCATGGTGGGGATATCACCAGCAAGGTGTTCATGGAAGGACCCCTGCAGGGCCAACACGCCTACAGACATCTCTCTCGCTCTCTCTTCTCTCTAAGCCCTTGAATCGCCTTGGGGTGGGGAAGGGGAAGCGAGGGAACCTCGCCCTTCGTAATAATAATAATAAGGAGGAAAATATTCGGATTGAAATCAACTCGGTCAATTCATATGCATGCGATTGCTCCACGATTCGCCTGGATTTCCTCCCTCTCTCTCACTCTCTCTCTCTATTAAACAAGAAAGGTCAGTCCCCTCTGTACACCGCGCATGTCGCAGAGAATTTTTGGACAATCAATTTTTTAGATTTTCAAGTTTTCATGGACACGTTCGATCACACTATTTTTAAAATTTTAAATTTTATAATTAAAAATAAAAATATATTTTAAAATTATTATAAATTTTTTAATATTAAAATCACATTTATCAACAGTATTTTACTTTGATTGTTTAGAGCCTAAGCTCTATACAAACCACACACCCTTCAATTATTTATAAACATAGAGTTTGAGGCGGCGTTCTTTCTTTCTCTCATTTAAACCCTCACCTACCATGAGCTAAAATCCAACCTAGAATGTCTATTTATTCAGCTAAAGATATTCTACTCCCACAGTAGCCCACCCCCAGTTTGTGATTTTTTATTGATATTCTACTCCCACAAAGAATGTCTATTTACTCAGGACTTTTAAAGTTTGGAATGTAATATCTTCAACTCATAAATTAATCTTAATAAAAATAATTCTTATTCTGCTCTCCGTGCATATGAATAAATAATGTCTCAAGATTGAATGGAGACCATTTAATTTTGTAGATGATGAGATCTCACTGTTTGAAAACTTAAAATTATTATTATTTTTTCAGAATAACCTACTAGTAATTCTTAAGTGATTCCCAAATTTTAAAATTAAAAAATATCCTCCTCTGAGTAATGGAGTAGAAATCAACTATGTTCTAGAAGGAGCATAGTATATGTGCTCAAAAAACAAGAAACGTTAAAAACTAAACTTATTCTGCCTTTTAAGAAAGAATTACACGCATATCTTAAGCCGCTTTATTTAGAACATTGCTTTTAATATTTTTTTTGACATTCTTATTTTTTTCAATTATTTTTATTTTTAACCAATTCACTACTTTGTACCTTGAAGATATAAAATTGAACTTTGCTTCCGAGAAAAATGACCTTAGAGACCCAAAGTTAAACCGAAAAACAAACTTCCATCCTAAGTTAAAAATTGAAATTTTTTTTATATACACAATAAACCACTGAAGCTTTTAAAACCATATCCGCATGTTGTCTTTTTAATAAGTTAAAAGTTCAAATCAAAAGTACCGATCCAATAGCTATATTTATCAGAATCACATTTCACAAAGAATTTATTTTAACTTGTTATAGTAGGATTCTTAACATCAGATCTTCAAGGTTCAATGATTGTTTTAGGTAAAGTTCAATTTTTTTTTTTAGAACAAATTTTAATTCCAGGCCTTTAATATCATAAGTGGTAACAATAAAAGAAAAAAAAAAAAGAAAAGAAAATGGGGATGAACAAAAATATAGAACCCCATGAATCAAAGAGGCCTTAAAAAGTTGTTCTAGTGCTAGAGAAGGCATGGACATAAAAATAAAAAATAAAAAAATAAATTTAATTTAATTTAATTTAAAAAAGAGCATCTTTTGACACATCATTTAAAACAAAGATTTATAGATTTACTGAATCTGCATCATTTTTTAAGCCTTAAATTTTTTATAATTCAGAGTGAAAATAGATTTTTGGGACCATCTTAAGGGCTTCCAACATTATAACAAGATTTTGAGATGAGCATTGCTATGATTGTTCGAGATTGATGCCTTACATAAAGGCTAAACGTTTCAAATGCTGCTTATCATCCATTGCGTGAAACTCTCTTGTGAGAGAACATCCACACAAAGCAAACAACCCTTGTGTGTCAATTCTTTTGTCTAGTTTATAGAATCTTGAATGTAAATTATTTATTATATAATTCCAACTATGAAATCATTCTGTAAATCAATTTCGCATCCAAGTATACTATTAACAATAAAAAAGTGCGCTCTAAATGTGAAATCCCACTAACTTAAACCATGTCATGAACTCGGTCTTCATAAGAAAATCTAGTTGCAGTATGTCGATATTGAATAAGTGGAGCTTCCCAACTCTTTTGGTCACCACCACTCAAGATTAACTTGTACATGCTTAAGCATCAATCGACTCTAAACCAGAATTATAACAAAAGAAAAAGAAGCTGCACATTCATAACTACTTACAACTCTCTCTCTCTCTCCATTCATAACTACGTACAACTCTCTCTCTCTCTCTCTCTCTCTCTCTCTCTACTACTACGTACACACTCTCTCTCTCTCTCTCTCTCTCTCTCGT